TCCCAATGTTGTGTTTGTCAAAAAGGCTCATTACCAGCGTCTTGTGGGAAAACTCATCTACCTAGCTCATACTGCCTCGACATATATTACGTAGTTGGAATAGTGAGTCAATTCATGCATGACCCCTACGAGCACCACCTCCAAGTTGTCCATCAGATTCTCCACTATGTAAAAAGTACATCGAGCTCAGATTTGTTCTTTTTTCCGCCACACCTCTCGGTCTATTGTTGTTATACAGTTGCTGATTGAGTTGGATCAATTCATGATCGGCATTCCACCTCGTGGTATTGCTCATCAATCTTGTCACATGGAGAAGCAAGAAACAATCTGTAGTTGCCCGAGGCAATGTTGAAGCTAAATTATGATCCATACCCTTAGGAATTTGTAAGCTCTCTGGCTATGCATCTTGCCCCACGAACTTCGTGTGCCACCCTCTGTTTCGTTGTAGATATTCTAAGATAATAAAGCCACAATCAGCATTGCTCACAACTCAGTCTAGCATGATTGTACCGAACATGCAGAGATCAACAAACACTTCATTAAGGTAAAAAATTTAGTCTGGGGAGGTTTGTGTTTCATATATGTCCTACAGTAGTCAACAGAAAAACATCCTCACTAAGAATATTTTTTGCCATTTGTTTAATGACTTCAAGTCTAAGTTGAACATGACTGACATCTATGTTTCAACTTGAGGAGTATTAAATTATAATGATTATCCCTATGCTATTATTTACTATTTGATTTTATTACCTGATTATGTATTTCCTCTTTTGATTTATTTTGTTTTATTTTATTTTCTAGTTATTTATTTTATTTTTATTGTTTTCCATTATTATGCAAATTGTAATTGAGTTTAAATACCCGTCCTCCTATCAAAGAAACTAAGTGGTCTATTCGAAATCTCAACACAAACTCATAACCTTTGATAAATATAACTAACTTTTTGCCAATAGATCACCAAAGTTTTTGCTTATATTATGTATTAAAAGTGTATAATTAAATTAATTTTAAGCAATTTTGAATCAATTTTTTTTGTTAATTCATCCTTAATCATAAAAAGAAATCAAAGTGATTTTTTAGCTAGAATTTCTCGGCCTAAACTCAACTCAAAGAGGATGTAACTTAATTGATTGAATTAAAAAGTCGAGTATGTTTTCACATTAGTTGGAGAAATACACTATATTTTAAACAAACATAAACGTATTTAATGGGTGGCACACCAAAGCACAAAATTTTGAGCTTATGCCCAACTTGATTATGGACTTTGGACGACAATGTTAAAAGAGTTTAAACGAACCAATTAGCATGAGGAAGAACCCCATGTTCAAAATTTCTGTTTGGTTCAGGGCATGAGCTTATTCTATTAAATCTATTCAGGAAAATCCTAATAAATGTGAATTCAAATTTACGAGTTTCTTGTCTAATGAGTCATTTTCAATGGATTTTCAGGGCATGAGTCATTTTCAATGGATTCCATAATTTTAAAGAATCCCTAAACCCTAAGCAAGCATTTTGTAATTTCAACTAGATTTAATGGATTTTTTTTTATTTCTTTCTTTATTTATTTTGGTGGGTTAGTTATTTTGATAAACTTTTCAATGAAATTTCTGAAAATATGATCGACCTTAGTATTCTTAATATTTTTAATAATAATAAAATACTTTATTTTTATCGTCGCATTAGTAAAAAAAAAGTTGATGAAACTTTAGAGAAAACTAAGGGTGTGAAAAATCAATAGGATTTGATGATATCTCAATTAAAGCATGGAAATATTTGGAAGATTTGAGAGTTTTTTGACTTACTAAACTCTTTAATATTATTTTAAAAAATAAAAAGATGCCTGAGAAGTGAAGAAATAGTATTTTGGTCCCCATTTTTAAGAATAAAAGGATGCACAAAAGTGTGTAAATTATAAAGGAATTAAGTTGACGTGTCATTCTTTAAAATTATGGAAGAGGATAAATGAGCATAGATAAAGAAATATTAAAAAGATTTTTCATAATCAATTTAGATTTATGTCAGGCAGGTCTGTTATGGATGCTATACATTTATTTAGAGGTTTGATGGAGAAGTACAGAAAGAATAAGGAGGATCTACATATGATGATCTACATATGATCATATGATTTTTATTGATTTAGAAAAAGCATAAAATAAGGTTTCAAGAGAAATCCTTTGAAAAGTTCAACAGAAGAAATGTGTTGATATGACTTATATTCAAGTCAATAAAAATATTTATACTAGAGTTGTTACTTGTGTTCGTATAGGAGGATTGACTCAATATTTTCCTATTTCATATGGATTACATTAGGGATCGGCTTTAAGCCCATATCTTATTGCTTTAGTTATGGATGCTCTTACGGGATATTTACAACAGGATGTACCTTGGTATATGATTTTCACTGATCATATGCTTCTTGTGGATAAGACTAGAGAAAGAGTTCAGGAAAAACTTGAATTATGGAGGTCTACATTGGAGACTAAAGGCCTTTGTTTGAGTAGAACTGTTTGAGTAGAACTAAAACTGATAAAACTGAATAATGTAATATAGTAGTAGCTCTAACGGCAGAGTTGTAACTATGAGTGACCAAATCATTAAAAGGTGTGAACACTTTAGATATCTCGGTCTATTTCTTAAAATGATGGTGATATAAATGGGGATTTTATTAGTAGAATTCAAGTTAATTGAAGTGGAGGAATGCATCGGGCCTATTGTGTGATAGAGAAGTACCGTTTAGACTGAAAGAAAGTTTAGACTGAAGTACCGTTTAGACTGAAAGAAAAATTTTATAAGATGGTGGTGAGACCTACAATGCTCTATGGTGTAAAATGTTGGCCCTTAAAAAAGAAGCATAAAACAAAGTTGTGTAGCCGAGATGAGAATGCTTAGGTGGATGAGTGGCTTGACACTTAGGGACAAAATGTGAAATGAATATGTTTGTGATAGAGTTGGTGTATCTCCAGTAGCGGATAAAATTATAGAGGGTCGTCTTAAATGGATTGGTCACATCAAATGCCGACCATCTGATGATATGGGGAGAATAGATGTTTTAGATTCGACTTATGTTAAGACAAGGAGAGTTAGACCTAGAAAAACTTGGGCATATTGTATAAAAAATGAACTTAATTTATTAGAATTAATTGAAAACATGACACTCAATTGAAAACATGACACTCAAATTGAAAACATGACACTCAATAGGACGCGATGGAGAAAATGGATTCACGCAGCAAACCCCAATTAGTGGGATAAAGGCTTGTTGTTGTTGTTATTGTGTTTTATTTATTTTGGTGGGACATATCCGACCCCTAAAGTTTGATGTTTGTATTTACATCGCCTAGGTGTTATAAACATATGCATAAGAAGGAGAAGTTTATTTTTAAAAAGTTAATAAAATGATATTTTTTATGTGATGTTAAAGATTGGAGTATCATGAATGCAAATATTAAAGTTTAGATATTTGATATGTAAATACATAAGAATTGTGTGGTATGTATGTAAATGCCCAGCCCTTTTTTTTTCTTGTCAGAACTTCTCAGAAGGTTAAGTCCAAAAACTTCATAGATGAACCTTGCTAAGGCTAATAATAAGTAATAGATAAATAAATAAATACTTGTCAATAATTTATTTCATTCTTTTTAAAAACTACTAAATTTCTTCTTTTGGATAAGACTAGAGAAAGAGTTAACAAGAATCTTGAATTATTAAAGTTAACTTTAGAGTCTAAAGACTTTCGTTTTAGTAAATTTAGGGGTTGACAATGGGTGATCAAATCATTAAAAGAAGTAAGCGTAAGATGTCTGAGGTCTATTGGTCAAAGTGACAGTGTTATAGATGAGGATGCTATTAATAGAATTCAAGTTGGATGTTTGAAGTGGAGGAATGCATTGGCTCCATTGTGTGATAGAAAAGTACCGCTTAGACTTAAAGGAAAATTTTATGAGATGGTGGTGAGACTTACAATGCATTATAGTGCATAATATTGACCTATAAAAGAGAAGCATAAGACCAAGTTAAGTGTTGTTGAGATGAGCATGCTTAGGTGGATTAAGACTTTGCACTCAGAAACAAAATGCAAAATGAATATATACATGAAAGGATTGTTGTAGCTTGAGTTGTAGACAAGATTAAAGAGAGTCTTCTTAGATGATTTGGTCAAATTAAATGTGGAGCATCTGATGATACAGTTAGGAGAGTAGATGTTTTAGATTCGTCTTATATTAAAAAAGGTAGAGATAGACCTAAAATTACTAGGGCATGTTGTATAAAAAATGATCTTAATTTATTAAAATTAAGTTAAAATATGACACTCAATTGGAGACAATAGAGAAAAAGGATTGTTTTAGCTTGAGTTGTAGACAGGATTAAAGAGAGTCTTCTTAAATGGTTTGGTCAAATTAAATGTCGAGCATCTGATGATACAGTTAGGAGAGTAGATGTTTTAGATTTTGCTTATATTAAAAAAGGTAGAGATAGACCTAAAATTACTAGGGCATGTTGTATAAAAAATGATCTTAATTTATTAGAATTAAATGAAAATATGACACTAACTAGGGCATGTTGTATAAAAAATGATCTTAATATATTAAAATTAAGTTAAAATATGACATTCAATTGGAGAAAATAGAGAAAAAGGATTCATGTAGTCGAGCCCAATTAGTGATATAAAGGCTTGTTGTTGTTGTTGTTGTTGAAAAAGCAAGAGAATTGCATCCACAAAAAAAATAGAAAGAAAGAACTGTTCTTCCAATTAATCTCATGCAATGTCACAAAATATTGAATGAAAATATTAAAAGGGCCTTTGAAAAGCCAAGGTTAATAACTATGGAGAAAGATATACATTCAATATGTAAATGAAAGTAAAATACCAACTTGAAACAATAATGAAAGAAATTTGCAAATCTATAATAGCGTCTTCATGTAGTAATTTCCATATCTATTATAATTCTCAAGAAAAAAATTGAACAACAATAAATCTAAATGGCAATGGAATAACATACTTTTTATCAAAATGATTCATTGTTCTTGTGATAGAAAGGACACGTTCTCCTAGATCATCATATATCTCTTCAATAGATCTGATAAGGAAAAACAATTTTAATTCAGTTTTAATTGAACTGGATTATACAAAGAAAAAGAAAAAGAAAAACCTTTCAGATCTTCTTGAAGTTATATCCTCCTAGAATGAATACATAGAAAAGTGGATTTTTTTATGATTAAGTTTCGCTATAATTTAAAGGAAGATTTATAATCAAACCACTCAATTCTTTTGTATTTACATATCTAACACCACAATTTCAATTTTTACATAGATGCCACCTTGTTTATGCATGAAAATATGCATCACACTCTTTAACTGTTAAACTGGTGGCATTTTTTATTTGATATTGTTAGAAGTCAAATTAGAAGATAATTTATTCCTATTAGAAGTTTTGAGAATTAAATTTACTTCCTAATATAATTTTATTTTCTTTTCTTTTTTAGATTTATTTTTTTAGATTGGATTTATTTCCTTTCCTATTTTAGGCTTTCTTATTTTATGTTGTTTCCTTTATTTTATGTTATGTTGTTTCCTTTATCTCCAAATAATTAAGATAAAGTGATTAATTTGAGATATTAGGTGTTATATCTTTCATTTCATGCTATTTTTTTTTTATTGCCTGTCCTATTATAGGATTCATGTAAGGGTTATTTATAGCCCATTTTCATATCAATAATACAATTCAACATTATTCTGACTTTCAAAAGACATGAAAGATTTGGGTGTTATAAATGTAAGAAATAAAATTTAGGTGTTAGATACGTAAATACATAGATATTGGGTGGTATTTATGTAAATGACCGCTAACTGAATACCTTGCTTCCAAAATAGGAATGCCTTGTTTGTTATAAGACACAACCTAGAAGAATAAGTGATATAATAAGTATGAAAATTATAAAACTAAAAATAATCAAAATGATGCAAAAAATATGAAATGCACCTTTTGGCAGCTATGTCTTATTCCAAGATGCCATTTTTGCTGCCAAGAGAATTTTGTAGGCTTCCTGATTGGAGAAAATAAATACGGAGTATATTGCCAACTTATATGTTGTTTAGCTCCATGCAATAACAGATTTACTAGTCTCAAACATGACAGTGAAAGAAATCAAATAGAGATAAGCAACTACATAAAACGCATTAAGACAAAGGTTTATGATTAGTATTTAATGAATTAATACACATAGACACAATCCAAATCAAAGATGAGTGTCAAGGCACAGAAAAAGTCAACATAAAAAAAATGAAGTGGGAGGCCAACAAAAAAGAGAATGTTTGATATCGCGTATAACAGAATTCAATCTCATTATAACATTATGTCATAATTGTATAGTAAATAGTCTAACAAAAATGTGATATAAACAACCAACACCAAAAAAATCAAAAAGTACATTTATGGCTCATGTATATCGAAATATGTAGTTCGAGTTAAAGCCAAAATAGCAAGTGAAGTCATCAGGAATTATGGTACATGAATCTCAAAAACATTCCCTCAAGCTCAGAAGGCACTTGTCCAAGCTCTGAAGGCACCGGCCAGCTTAAAGGGAACTTACCCAGGATCTGAGAGCACTCGCTAAATCCAAAGGAGCCGTCTGAGGCATAAAAGAAACTAGCTATTTAGAGATGGCGACTCCATCAGTACAGTTGACAACAACTTTAACGTACACACCAAAACAGTGGTCCACAAGTACTTAATGAAATTCCGAATAATAAGTGCATGCGTCCATAATAGTTATATCATGTTTTTTTTTTTATTCTACCAAATTAAAATATGGCTTCTCTTGTGGCTCCAAAAAATTCTATAAATTTAGTACAATACTATGAGCTTTCTGCATAGAGAATAAGATTCTTTAAACTCTCTCTCTCTCTCTCTCTCTCTCTCTCCCCCTTTCTACTCTCTCTTAAGGCATTGTTTAGATCTCATGGGCCCCATAGGTATCGTTCAAGTATTGTCATGGGCAAATTTGGATTCAATAACTCATTAGGTTGCTTGTATGTGCTTTTAGAAAGTGAGCATCTTGTTTTCCTTTATTTTGAATGTGAAGTTTAAAATTCACCATTGATAGAGTTTTGGCTTGTAAAATTTGAAACCAAAGCAAGCATAACTATGTACAACCAAATGATGGATTTAAAAAACTTCATCATTTTGCAAAACATAGTTTATAGTTTGAGCGACCAAATGAGCCCTTGAAAGATCATTATCTTTCAAGCAAATGAATGGGTTAATCCTGAAAGCATAACCAGAACAGCCGGACAAAAAGACAAATTTGATTAGCTACACTTGTCATATCCCAACTTAAAAGATAAGTCCATCATTTCCCTTTATGCTAGAATGTTCTATTTGCTATTATATATATTGTGTACCTTTATGCATATGTTTGGTTAATGAGAAGAAGTGTTGGAGCTTGCTATACATGTTTCTCCCTTCTCTCCTGGTTTATTATGGTATCAGAGAAGGTACTCTCAATAGAGGTGGCTTCCTTCTCGCAGTTGCCTGGAATCGCCACCTAAATTTGGACCTTTGTAGACTACCGCTCTCAGGACTGCCCCGATGTTATCGCTTTCCAACCTTTCTGCCTTCTGGGATCAAATCGGGGCAAGGCTGTCGCACTTTGCTTTGAGTTCCAAGTGACTATCAGGTAAAGTTCATTCATCTTGTTACACCATGGGAAACTCAAGTTTCTGAAACTTTGAATTACTCCCCAGATGATTTTTTTTCATATCACTTTTGGGTCAACGCACTACTTACAGCTGCCTACCTAATTAACAAAATGTAATCCTAAAACACCTTGGCTGTATCTCCATATGAACTCTTACATGACCACAAATGTACCTACACCCATCTCAAGCCATTTGTTTGTGCATGCTACCTGTGGATGCAGCCACAAGCGACCCATAAACTCGCTCCAAGGTCAACTCATTGCATTTTCCTGGAATACTCACCCAATCACAAAGGCTACAAATGTCTTCATCCAAAATTCGGGAAAGATAATTATCTCACATGTTTTTTTGATGAAATTCTTATCCATTTCCCACTCCACCAAGCCACAGCCCTTACATACCAACCACAAACACTATCAACCCTTACCTCGTCACTCCCGTGCTCCCTTCCAATACTTCACTTCAACCACTCCGTCCAACTTCTGCTTCCACACAACTTCCCGCATCTCCCATACCTAAGCAAATTGAATCACCGCAGCTCCCTCACTCCCATCCTCTACATCAACCGACCACTACAATGCCTACACCCATCTGATGTTGATCAGGACCAAAGCTGGTATTTGAAAACCGGTCCAACACGTGAACCTATTGCACCAACTGAAACAGCCACTTGATCCCACGTGTTACTCCCAAGCAGTGAAGTATTCACACAGGAGGAAAGCCATAAATGAGGAATTTCATGCCTTACAAGCACAAGCCACTTGGGAATTGGCTTGACTACCGGCTAATCAATCATTCTTAGGTTGTCGTGGGACTTATTACACCAAATTTAATTCCAACAGATCGGTGACTCGACACAAGGCTAGACTGATAGCTCAATGATACAAAAAAGAGCAGGGGATCAATTATCATAATATGTTCTGTCTGGTTGCAAGAATGCCTCCTCTCCGAAAGTTATTCACTATTTTGTTCCAAAAATAATGGTCTATATTTCAACTTGATGAATCAAATTCTTTTCTCCATGGAGTTCTAGATGAAACTGTTTATATGCAACAACCTATTGCATTTATTGATACTCAACTTCCGTCACATGTGTGTTCACTCAAAAGGATATCTATGGCCTTAAGCAATCTCCCTGACAATGGCTTGCCACCATTCAGCATTTTTCATCAATGTGAGAATTGATTTCAGTAAAGCTGATCCATCTTTGCTTATTTCCAGACAATCTACTCATAATACTTAATTTCTTCTATATGTGGATGATATCCTAATCACAGGTGCATATGAATCTATCATTGTAGCATATGAATCTATCATTGTAGAGCTGAAAAACAAACTTCATTCCGGATTTAAAATTAAAGATTTGGGACCGGTATTCACATTTTTAGGCATTGAAATCACTCGTATTGATTCATTCATTTTCCTGGGTCAACAAAGGTACCTTCAACAACTCTTACAAACAGCAGGTATGCAAGGCTGCAAGGCGGTGTCTACACCATTTCCTATGAAGGTCAATCTGCCAACGGAAACCATCAATCCTTTGGAGGAACCAACAACTTATAGGCAATTGATGAGCTTGTTGTAGTATCTTACAATTACTAGATCAGATATCTCATTTTTCATTAATCAGCTTTGCCAACATATGGATAATCTGTCTATATACCATCACCAATTACTTAAGAGGATATTTCCTTACCAACATGGTACAGCTAATCAAGGCATTCTTATTACACAAGCTGAACTTCAACTACAAACCTACTCGGATCTCTATTGGGTAGCAGATTCTACAAACCACAGACCTACCATGAGCTATCGCTCGTACTTAGGAAACACACCGATCTCCTGGAAAGTAAAGAAACAACACACAGTGGCATGGTCATCGACGGAGGCAGAATATCAAGCGCTTGCTATGGCCATAACCAAAGTCATTTGGCTACAACGTCTTCTACAAAACTTTGACATTCCACAGCTTCAACCTACCAAACTTTCTTGCAATAGTCACTCAGCCATAGTGATAGCTAATAATCTGGTATTCCACGCTCGCACGAAACATATTGAAATCGACTATCATTTTATATTTGATCGCATTCAATCGGGTGAGATACAAATTCATCACATTCACACTCAGGACCAACCAGCAGACATACTAACTAAATCCCTCTCCAAACAACGGTTCAATCATCTCAAATCCAAGCCGATGGTGCGACCAGGGCTGCAAGTATAACCTGGACAGCCGGACAAATATACAAATTCAGTTAACTGCACTTGCCAAACCCCAGCTGAAAAGATAAATCCACCATTTTCCCTTTATGCTAGAATGCTCTATTTGCTATTATATATATTCTGTCCCTTTATACATATGTTTGGTTAATGAGAAAAAGCGATGGCGGCGCCTGGAGCTTGCAATACCTCTTTCTCCCTTCTTCTCTCCTATTTTATCAAATCCTGGCAGAGCATTAATCGGATAAAAACTAGAACTTCACAAAAGATTGGTAAAAGGTCCAAATTTCAATTTTTTTTTTACAGTAATCAAACTGAGTACTTGCAAATATGAAAGAAAGTTTCAAATTCCAATTAACGGACGGCGCAATGCATCAAATTTGAAAGAGTTCTCGAGCATCAACGAATAAAAAACATAAGCTTTAGGGCATTCAAAGCAAGAGCCGAGCAGAGGGAATTTCATACGCTGATATGGAGAAGGGCAAGTTCCTCCTCTGCTATAGGAGAGCGAGAGCGAGAGCTCCATCGTCGAGCAGATTAACAGTAGAAGGGAAAAATATGCATTTTGCAGAGCGATTTCTAGGGCCTTTTTGTCTAGGAAATCCTCTTAATTTTAAGTTTTGGAGCATTTACATAGAAACCACCAATTTCCTATGTATTTACATAATAAAAATGTTAATATTTTATTCTAGAGAATTTTTATATATTTACATATCTCACGCCTTACATTCAAATTTTTAACATCACCTTAAAAATAGCATTGTAATCATTTTTCAGACATGAAATGCATCAAACTATTATGCATGTAAATATAAAAGTTTAGATGTACAACAACAACGATAGCAGTCCTTGCATGAATCTTTTCTCTCCATTGTGTCCTATTGCGTGTCATATTTTCATTTAATCTTAATAAATTAAGTTTATTTTTTTATACAACATGCCCAAGACTTCTTAGGTCTATCTCTACATTTCTTAACACGAGTCGAATCTAAAAATGTCTAATCTCTTAACCTGATCATCACATGGTCGATGTTTAATATGACCTCTGGCAAAAGTTAAGGCATGAAGATATGTAAATACATAAAAAAAAAAGTGATATTTTTAAAAATCTTTCATACATAAAGATAATGTTTGGGCTCTCCCCACCCTATTAGTTGGAGGGACCAACATGGCCGTAGCTCAAATCTAACTCAAATAACAAGCGTGGATTCCCGAACGCACTTGAGAGCTTCACCCATTGCTATGTCATCTAACTATTTTTATATGTATACAAATGGTTAAATATTTAATCATATACATAGTAAATATATTTTAAATTTTGAATTAAGAAAAAAAATGATAATTTTGTAAAAATGCCCACAATTCACCCTAAACCCTAATGGCTACAATACATATGATAGGTTTGTATGGCTAATATAAAAGTTTGATTTGTTTTTAATTGTATGGAAATAGTGGTGATTAATATTAAGTTTTTATACAAAAATATCAAATCAAACACATTCCAACTACACCACATTGCACCTTATATAGCCCAACATAATGATATAACCACTTGCAATATTCCATATGAGTTAGCTTTTTGGTCAATATGATTATTTCTTTTATATAAACATCACCATCCATAGTGTTTTTATCATACATATAACTTTGAGTGTATTCATAAATTATGTACATTGAATATACATTAACAACACATGCAAGATTATGAGCTAATTATATTATATAATGAGTTGTTTTTTCACTTGAGAAATATCATTAATCTTAGGTTAACATGTTAAAATATTATCTCTTTCCAAGTACTTGATACATTATTAATTTACAATTTTTTAGATTAATAATTGAGTGTTTGATATATTGGCTGTTTTACTTAATATAATTCTGTGAATTTTTAATATAAACTAAGTATGGTGTCATATAAGTGGTTGATGTCGGTATTATGAACAAACTACTGAAAGAACATTAATCGTACCATACACAAGGGTTCAATTTCATTGCAATTTAGAAGAAGATAAATCATAGTGGCATCATATGTTGTATCATCCTAATGCCTAAATAAATTGTGTTTATTTAAAGAGCTTATAGGATGATTAAAAAATACAAGTGGCTCTTATGACTCTATTTATCATCTATTGTACTTTATTAGAATTTAATTCCATATTACGTATATATTTGATTTAAAATATATAAAATAAAAGGCGAATATCTTCTCAATCACTTGAGATTCACAAAGTAAACATTTATCATATGTTTTATCATGAATTTTATTTCTCTTCACGTGGTGCAGATTCTTCGAATAAAAAAATTATGTATTTTATATTAAGATTAATTAGAACCTAATGGTATCATTGGCTTATCAATTCTTTCATATTTTAAATCCATTTTCTATGTTATGAAAGCTACATTTAGTCAGCCAATACTCACAAACATGCAATCTCCTCATAAAAGGCCCATTGGAAACAAACTCATTAGTAATTTGTCATGTGGACTTGCTGCCTATATATAGTATGATGGCCCATATAACTATTAAAATGTAAAGGAAACCAGTCTATTTATTTGATTTCGTGATATAAAATAAAGTAATTAAAGAAAGTTTATCATTTTCTATCATATTTTTCTCATTTACATGGGACATAGTTATAGTTATGTTTTATGTCTACTTTTTTAGATTCATCGACGTCTAATTAATATATATCTATTTTCCGCAAGATCCAAATGAGATGATCACGTAGAAAGGTCTAAACGCAAAGGGAATATACAAGATAAGAAGAAACCAACCAAGTGAGAAACAATTCTTCGACCAACCTGAAACCCACCAAAGAGCCAGTCAACTCGAGAGACGACCAACTTCAATGACCAATCGAATCAAGCAAAGGCCGACCAACACTAAACACCCGTCCGACACTTAAAGCTGAGTCGCTGATTCAACCAGAGGCCAACTAAGGATGATCGACTGACCAAAAAAAAAGTTAGGGGAATATTTTTCAGTTCACGATTGTTCTAGTGTCTCAATCTCCTTACCTCTCTCTACTCTCTCTCCTTTCATTCTCCTATCAAGCTTTATTCCGCCGGCGTGATTCACGAACAAATATGAGCCCCTTTGAGTCAGTTTAAAAAAAAAACAATCATTCTATGTCAATTTCAAAAGCATTAATGAACACAAAAGAAAATTGGAAACCACAACAAACAAATGGAAGAATGGAGAAATCCATTTGAGCTTCTCCATCTTGAAGCATTCATATTGAACCCTCTCGTGTTAAAGTTGCTTTCAATGTATGATTTTTCCAAGGGGAAATATTTGCTTCTAATGTTGCTCACATCACATTTATTACATTTACAAATTTTTGCAAGGTTCTTTTAATGGAAAACTTTACATGCTTTATGAATGTTAAAGATAGCTTTATGATATTAGAGTTTTATGAATGAAGAGTAGAATATGATTTTACATAAAACTATGCGTTTAAAGATTTAATGCAAGATTATGACATAATATTTTATTATATTTACTCAAATACCTATGAATAAATGACAACACGGTTTTATAAAAGGAAGACTTCGGTGCGTTTGGGGGCAGCAGTGAGATGCTGCCTGCACTTTGTTGCGCTTCACAGATTTATGTTCTATTTGCTTTTTTTAAAAAAAAAAACACTATTTTGCACTTTGTCATGTGAAGATGTATTTTGCATCATAATCTGACTAAGTGTGGTGGCTGTTAGAAAGCTGTTGTCCGACTTTTTCAAAATAAAAAAAATTATAGTAGTCATCACAGTTTTTTGATCTGTCTCAATTTTATACATGCTTCTTCAAACAACTGCAGCTGACACAGACAAACCCTATCAAACTATCAAACTAGAAAATTCTTAAAATAAAAAATTACACAAATACCCATCTTTAAATGACGGCCATAATTGCAACTTGCAAGAGATTGGTTTAGTGGTTAGTGTTGACCCGTCTCCACAAAAGGCTAACAGCGTGACTTCTTTGTCAGCTCATGCAAGCTCCGTGGTTGACCACCAGTGGGCCCCACACTTTCGTAGTCATAATCATCTTCTCTACGATCAAGCAAAAGTTATACTTGATTCCTATGTATTTGCATATCTTGCACATAAACTTTATGTTATGGCATTATACAACCCAAATATTACACATCACATCATAAATATCACCTTCTCATGTTGTAAAAAATTGAAAAAAAAAAAAATTCAAGTATAGATAAAGTTAGATGATGTAACAAATTATAAGTTTAGGGTTCGTTTAAGACAGCTTATTTGGTGTGGTGGCGTTTTGAAAACACACCTGGTCTGTTTGGATAAACTACGTTTTGGCAGTTTATGTGTTTTCAAAACGATGAAAATAGCGTTTTCACACCGCACCTACCGCACCTATCTAGGAGCGGGGGCAGCGCAGCTTTCTGGCTACGGTCTGACTTTTCAAAAGAAAATAACTTATCGACAGATTATTTTTAAATCAGCTTATCAGCAAATTATTCAATAAGTTGAGGCTGCCCCAAGCAGACCCTTAGTTGCTTGATATGTAAATACTATAAATTTGAGTGGTATGTATGTGATTCTTCTATTTTTAAAATTTTACTATTGTAATGATCACATAATATGATTATCTATGGCAATTGCTTCTCTGCCATATATATATATATATGCTCGCGACATAGTAGTTGAGAATTTAGTTTCTCACCATGAGATCGCGAGTTCGAATGATGCATATTGAAACTCACATTTTTTTTTTTTGTGAATTCAAAACTTATCAGATTTCATTTATTTTCAAATATTTCACTCAACATATCTCCACCATCATCGCCTGTTTCCACTACTGATCACCACAACGTTGCCTGATGACCGCGATCGACCACTTCCCCGCCAAACATTCCCCGTGCCTGGTTGCCGCCATTGGCCGCCCATCACGTCTGACCACCGCCTTTCTTTGCCATCGGGCTTTACATTGAATTTCTTTTACATCAAACTAGATGTGAGGAAATAATATTTTGTATTGGTGATCAAATGTTAAGATATTATTTTAATTGATATTTTCAATTGATGTTATAACTAATTGCAATGTCAATGCTAGAGAAGACTTAAATTATACAATATATAGTGAGCAATGAAACTTTATCTTCAAACTAAAGACAATCTAATGCATTAAATTAAAGGAATACATTTTATTATTTACTTTTATAGTTGTACATAATTATTTTTATTTATGAGATAATTACTTACAGACCATCCGAAACATTGATATTTACAAATAAACCACATAGGTGTATTTTTTTTTTTTTTTTTTACTACCGCACCGATCTATTTATGAGTGTCTCGATTAAACTATTGAGAATTCGATAAAAAAAGGTTGGGTTTTTATCATAAATTTGGTAAATGGATGAACGAGCGTGCTTGATTTGTAAATAGCAATGCTTTGAGTGGTTTGTATGTAATTACCCCTTTTTAATTGAGTTCTTATAATTTCTTATCAACAATTTTAGTGGAAAAATTATTCCATACGGATGTGTCCGATCCTGACCGTAAATCAGGTGATGATCTAAGGTCAGGATGTATTTCGGTGGGCCCCACCTAATTTTTTT